GTTAAATATATTATTAAATGTAATATTAATATCTAAATGCAGAGCTAATCCAGGTATTAATGCATTAGCATTAACACAAATGCAATCTGGGTTTAAAATGTCATTAAAAAAGAAGGGCTGTAACAACAGCAATGCTTTGAGAAATGCGTGACGTCTGAACTGTTGGTTTTCTTGAGAAACAGTTGCTATAGCAACTCAAAGGGTCAAACAAGAATAGCTTCTTTTAGCAGAGAAGCAATTGTGAGGACAGTATTATACTGTACATCTCCCATTAGTTTCATCATTTCATTTTTTTCTAGCAATCTTTTAGCTGATCTTTCATTTATAATTGACCACACAAAGAGGCAAAATTCTTAGATTTCCCATTTTCCTGTTTTTTTTTTTTAATTTAGTCTTTTTATCAGATAGCCAGAAACTAAAAACCTTTCAAATGTCAAGGCTATAATTTTTACTCAATGATAAGGCTGCAAAAAATGTATTTAAACATAAGCAGAAGTACTAATGCTGTGGGTCCACAAAGAAGGGAAATATAAAAATGTCCTTTTGCAAAAAAGAAAAACAATGTGATGCTTTTGATAAAAAAATGTCTGCATGTTATATTTTATATGCACATTTGCAAGCAAAACAGCTGCAGTAAATATAYTGACAGACAGAAATGACAATCAGCTACATTGACAATTTCACMGAAAAACAGATTAATCATGCTACACAAATCATACTGCTTTTAAAAAAACAGAAAATAAAACAAACATTGTTAATTGGACTGACAAAATGATAATGATGGCTGCCAGGTTGACAATGTAAATGAAAAGTTATTCTTAATGTTTTGCCTAGTATAATAAAAGGTTATATAAATAAAAATAAAAAACATGCCATTAACAAGAATATCTTCTCATWTGTAAACAAGGTTGCAAAGAAAACTACACTCAGTATTACTTTGTATATTTTGATGAATCCATTGTCTTAAATGAGGAAAATCAAAATGTCAAATGACACAAAAGCAAAAATCATTAAAAATCACAAAACAGTATATTATATATATATATATACATAATTAAAAGTCTAATATGTTTGTCTAAATCATAGTCAAACTCACTACTTAAGATAATCTTTCTTTCAGTATTTGCTTCACAATGAATGGGAGTTTATCAAAAAGATTTGATAGCAGCTGCATGTTTACTAGTTATACGGGTACAACGTGGCTTTTATTGTAACGGGGACTTACTCGTCTCCATCTGGGCAAATGCCTGTAGTTTCGTCGTATTTCGTGCAGTACACGTCAGGGCTGTAGTTAAAGGTACCGTCCCTCCTCCTTATGGGTCGCCTTCGTCGCTGGTTCAGAAAATGCCAATGAAAGCAAGTAAAGGGTCTGTGCTGCGTACACTTGTGCTGGAGGAACAACGGGCACTGCTCTGTCCTGAACTCCTTCAAGTATCTGAAAACAGCGAGAGAGGATTTAAAACAAGCGGAGAAAACTGAGTCGAGTTTAAAATAGCAATACACAAAGCATCGAGAGGTGTCGTGTTCGTGTCGCAGCCTTGTTATTTTGGGTCACGAACGTCGGCTCGGTATTCTGAGCGAAAACTACGTAGGCATTTTGCCGTAACGGTAAGTCAAAACATGCGAGCGTACGTGCATAAATGTGCGTAGAAAGAAGGAAGAAGGCCGAGCTATTTACAAGCAGACTGGTTAGCGAGTTCCTAGCTAATCGTTTAGCAGACAGACGGCATGATATTAAAAACGTGACTTAAACACGTTCTTCAACACAGAAAAACAAATGTGAGCGATTCCGACGGCGAATGCAGAGGCGTTCGTATTTCCTGCCGTAGCACTGTTGTTAGCAGTCGTTGTTTGCTATGTAACGTAAGGTAGTCACAAAGCCAGGAAAAGCACCATGTTTTAACGCACACACAAAAGAGTTGAGGAATGCCAAAAATGCAAACGCATAAAAGTGCACGCGGAACTCGCATTTTCGGCAATGGGCGATTTTATTGATTCTATGCAGCAGCGTTACTCACGTATAGTGGGTAGGTTTCTCGGTTTGAGGAGACGCATTGGCCRCCGTTTTCGAAACCGACGGCATTTTCAGTCAAAACAATGATTTGCGCATGCGCCAGAATCTGCACAGCAACAACACTACAAACAAGCCGAATTTACACAAGGATGTTAGGGGGCGTCAGAAAAATATTCTGACATTTCTTTTACACAGTGTCACTGCTTTTGCATATACAGAATACACATTATTATGCAAACTCGAATTTTTGTCTTCCGCATTTTGAAGTAAAGCACTGGTAGATGTTTCCTCTTGATAAAATACACAAACGTCATTTCAGCATTATAATGAAATACCTTTTAGCAACTACACACAATCCCCAAGGTAAAATAATTGTGCTTGACAAATTAGAATTTTTGGATTAAACATTAGAATAAATCTTTATGAATTTGACTGATCAGAAATAAATAAAGGATACAAGTTTCTACTCTTTCATTAAATAAGAAACTACTCAATGACCACTGACTGTCTGAGACATATGAGAACAAAACGTATTCCTCAGTCCAGTCTAAATAAATGGACTGAGGAATAAACATAAATAACATAAAGTTTAATTAATAAAAACAAGACCCAGAGGTGAGGACTGACTTTATGAGCCTTGTAGCCTCAGGAAGTAGCTGTTCCTTGACTTGTCTGAGCTTTGAGGCTGCACAAACTTCTGCTGGGGGGAGGGTGGGTAATGGGGTTTGTCATTCAGTTTTTTATTTTTATTTATTTATTTTTTTGGGCAGCATGGTGGCTCAGTTGGTAGAGCTGTTGGCTCTCAGAAGTTGTAGGATCGAATCATAGTTGGGGATTTTTCTGGGTAAAATTAGCATGTTCTTTCCATGAATGCATGTTTTTTTGAGGAGCACTCCGGTTTCCTCCCGCAGAACAAAAACCTGTGTTAGACTACTTGGTCATTCTAAACTGTCACTTGGTGTGAGTGAGACAGTGAATGGTTGTTTGTCTCTATGGTTCTGTGATGGGCTTGTGACCTGTCCAGGGTGTACCCCACCCCTCGCACAGTAACTGCTGGTTATGGGCACCAGTGACCCCCATGACCCTGAAAGGAAGAGGCAGGTAATGTTGGTGAGATAGACAGTTTTTAGCACATTTCTACGGAAGAGAATTAGGGCCATAGAGAGAGGGGAAAGAATTGACTTTTTTTATCAGATTTTTAAAATCAAAATTTTGATGTTTTCTCAGAATAAATCAAACATTTTTTCCCTCAGACTTCTGAGATTGACGCCAGAATTCTAAGATTCCTTTTGATATTTGAAAGCACACACACATATATATGTAATATGTATATATGTTTATATTTATTTATATATATATGTTTTGCTCTGTGGCCTTATCCTCTTCCACAAACATTATGTTCATGCCCATTCATTTTACGTTATCCATTTCAAGCCWACTTATAAGGCTACATTTTAAAATAACAATCAATTTACTACTAAAAAAATACTTTTATTTGTCTTTAGGCTAATTTCTTGCTTCCAGTATGAATTTAATAACTTTACATTTCCTCGACATTTTCAAAATATATATTTTGATGCGTCTGTCTTTTTGCATGTAAAACTTCTATCTCCACTCCACCACCACCACCACCATGCACACACACACACAAACACACACACACTTGAATCTGAAACGCTAATCTGTTCTACTCGACACCTTTTTTTTGTAAAGGGTTTAAATATACAAATGCAATTATATGTCCTGAAATCCACCGATTACACAGTCTAATAATCATACATAAACCCTGGCTTTTCCAGGTCTAATTACATCGTCATGCCACACCCACTCTCAGGTTACAGTTAAATCCCAACACTTTTCTTACATAAAACAAGCTTTAGTGATGGTCTCTTTTAAGAAAGTGAATAAAACACGATTTCATGGCTTTATTTTTTTATAGTTTAGTCTTCAAATGTGCATTGACTAGAGTCATATAAGGAAATACCTAATAGTGTCAGAGTTTCCTTTGAACTTTTAGAATTTTACTTCCTCAAACAGTCTCAATTGTTTGGCTAAATAAGAATTTTAATTTCCTTTTTGAAAGAGAGAAAAATCAAGAAATGTTGTCCTTTTTTCTTAAATGGAGTTTTGCTCTAAAACTCCCGACGTCACYCAGAGATGAGATGGGAAATGTTACACCCTTTTTGCCTTCTGTGATGTCAGCGCGTAACCTCGGCCTTCTCAGTGTTCTCAGCTGTTCATGCAGTTCACTGTCGTGCTCTTCTCACACTTTGTCCAGTGGGTGTGTTTTTTTATTTGTGCAGCTCGGCGCATGTGGCTGATGTCAAGGTGGTGTTTTGCCTCACCTCAGAYACTGAACATTGGTCTTGACAGCATTAATTTCATTATTAGTCAAATGTCTTCCTGTGTGTACCGCAAAAGCCTTGTGTTGGATTTTTACCTTGAATTTCTACGTCCAAGTTGCGAACAAACAAGAATTCTCCCTGTATTAGGAAAAAAAAATAGTTGGAAAACAAAGTGTCTTCTAGCAATAATTAAATTATGGAGCACAAGTATTATAATGGAAGCAATAATAAGAGTCCTCATCGTGTGCCACAGCAAGTTTAACTTTTTTTTGGCAGTCATCTGACAAACAACCACTGCAAAAATCCTCAGCATGGCTTTCCCAGGACAGTTACAGCTGGAATAACAAGATGTGCTTTGGGCTCCTATTTTTCCCAGTCACTTCATTATATCTGGCACAGAGGAAACATAAACAACAAAGTAAATATTTCCTTTTTGAATCCTGCGATACCCCCATTTGAAAACAGATGATAGTATTCACTGAAAAAAAAGTAAATGGTGCACCAGTAATAAAATAAATAAATAAATAAATACATTCAGCTCTCATGGAGCCACAAAAAAGAGCCTTTGGTAAACCTAAAGACACGCAAACATTTGAGTAGTCATGTTCTGCAAACATCATTTTATTCTTTTTTTAACAATGTGTTTTAATTTCACTCCAGATGATGTATGATTTATGATTTAAAAGACTGAGAACATGCTCCTGAACAAACAAGGCCAAGAAAAGGTCACAAATGTGCAAATTGAATAAATAAAATGGTGCGAATCAAAGGATCGTTGCTTTATTCTAACCATTGCTCTGTAGAGATTAAACAGCTCCTTGATGCAGCCCGTTCCTCTTTGAGCTCCCCGTCCAACAGGACTGAAATCTGRGAACCACAGCAGTCTTAGAAGCCATCATCACTTGCACGGATTCTCACATTTGTCTTGTAATGGTTACATAATTTGTCAAATTAAGCAGGAGAGACATTCAAATCCTGCGTTTGTAGCACATTAATTCCCACACACGTTTTATAGAGCCCATCACAAAATAGGACAGTGACCAAAATCTTAGATATATTGCACCCATTAATACAGCGGTTCAGTGATGATTCTACTACACTAAAATGATTTTATTCTGCACTTGTCATGCCTCAAATGTATCCCCTGTGGCTGATATAGATGTGTGAGATTGTTAAAGACCATTTTTGTATTTCACTTTAGGAAGAACGTGTTATTTTGACTGAAATTATCCTTCCTGTGGATCAGATAGATCACCTGGTTGGATTTGTGAAGTCTTAAGTCTGAAGGACATTTTATGTAGACACTTGTGCTTCGTTTGAACAGAAAACACACCAGACATAAAGAAAAAAGTTCAACTGAATGTGCACAGGACATTAAAATAACTTATTCATCTAATAAAAAATACATTAATTGGATTTCCCTTTTTCTTTTAAAGTGTCTTGTAGGATCTTTTGTGTTTCTTGTTCATGAAGAGAGCAAGTCTGACACTTGTGCAACTGGATGATTCAAAGCAGAATAACAGAGAAAGAGAACTCATATTTGATATGAAAAAGTGAAGTTTTTGAGTTGTTTTCTCATTGCAGTCAGACCTCTGACACGTTACCCCTGACAGGGAGATGTAAATCAAGATCATGGTGGCAGAAGTGGGTCACSACTGACGAGCTGGCTTTCTTTTTCACAAAGAGTCTCAGCTTGTCCCTGAAGGTTTCCCCTAGAAAGCTGTAGATAATGGGGTTAAGGCAGCTGTTGGAAAAGGCTGCCAGGTTAACAATGTGGCCTGTGAGCGGATAGTCGTGCCACAAGGCGGAGGCAGTCCTCCGCGACGGGTTGGCGGTGCCCTGCAGCAGCTGGATGCTGATGAAGACGTTCTCTGGCAGCCAACAGATGAAGAACACCAAAACCACCACCACGATCATGCGCAGGGCTTTCTGCCGCCGTGGCCACAACCCRCGATGCTTCTGGGATCGCACGAGGATCCGCCCGATCAGAGAGTAGCACAGGCCGATGATGGAGAAGGGCACCAGAAACCCAATGGTTACCTCCAGCCACTGAATCTCAAAGACATTCGCAAAGCAGAAGTGCACTTCCCCYCTGTGTTGGGTCTGGACTATTGTGAAGGGGAGAAGGGTGGCCAGGATGGAGGCCATCCAGATCAGGCTGCAGCTGAGCTTGGCGTGCTGCATCGTCCTCAGCGAGCTGCTGCTCATGGAGCTGGCCAACGCGACGTATCTGTCGAAGCTCATCCACGTGAGGAAGAAGATGCTGCTGTACATGTTGATCTGCAGGAACAGGGACATGAAGGTGCAGAGGATGGCGTAGTCGTAATACTTCTCGTTCAGGTTGAAAACCTCAATGAGGGAATCTGCCACCAGGATGAGATCCGCCACGGCCAAATTAACAAAGTAGAGATCAGGGATGGTCATCTTGTCTCTGTGGTTCAGGTTTACCACCAGGATTAGRATGTTGCCTATAAACCCAATAGGAAACAGGAGGATAGTGTACAAACAGGACAAGAAGAGACCAATGCTGTAAAACTGGTATTTTTCAGGGTTTTCACTTAAATTTGTGGCGTTGATTTTGAACGAGGTGTTCAGTCGGTCTGTAGTGATATTGTTGATCCAGACCAAAGACTGCCCTTCCATCCTGACTGYGATTGGCCTGCCTTAAATCAGAAGCCACACATATGTTACATTCACCGGCTACATCCTGAAGCCATGCCAGCTCAAAGTTTTGTCTCTTTAAAAGAATATTCATTTATCCTGTGTTGACATGCTGACGGAGGTCAGGTGAGCGCAGTGAAACATTTATAAGTCAGGTGAGCAGAGTGAAGTTTGACCCCATCGTGACATCAAGTTTCATCTGTCAGTAAACTCTTGGTGCAAAACAGGAACTCTTCCATGTCCTAAAACCACCTTCGGTCCGTGCCCCTGATCAGGCACGTTGTCCCGACGCCGGCTAAAATCTGAAATCTGTGCTCCTGAGATTAGACGGTGGCTTTTTTGTTGCTCTTTTCGAGTCATCTGATTGACGTGCTCCCCGAGTGCACGTGGACCTTTATTCAGTGAGAACCGGCCAAGGATGTTATTGCTCTGACACCTGAGCTGTGAGTAGAACKGAGGAAAAAAAATACCACAAGAAAAAACAATTAGAACGAAGTACTTGTTAAAGCAGCTGTATAAAGAAGGGAGTAAATATTCCCCAAAATATTCAAGATCTAAAATGAGCTTGATTTAAGATCAGCCTTGTAGTTTTTAGCAGGAAATAAAATGAATTACACACCATCCATGTGAACGTTTTAACATTCATGTTCAAGTCTTAAACAGATGCATTGAAATCCTCCGTTAAAGTCCACAAACAATCGAAACCTCCTCCAACCGGTTTGTCTACACTTGTTGACTATTCATTTGTAGTACAAAAGAGAAAAGCCTCAAGCCTTTAATGCTCTGATTTTTTTTGTTTTACAACAGTCATCATAAATTATGTAATAATAATTGATCATATTCAATTATTGTCCCTTAATATCATTGTTTAAAAATAATATTTAACTAATTTTCTGGCTTATATCTTCAACAAATAACTTTCTAATATATTAATGCTTTTCTTGTAAAAGGTTTTATTCACAGACATCATTCAAATAATGAAATATCCATAATCTTGAACTCTTATGATATTTAACTTTTTTATTACTGATATTTTGATTTTAAACACATTGAATTTTAAATCATATATATATTTCCCTCTTGTTTAGATACAAAAAACATGTAAACATAAAAAATGCAATRAGAACAAAAAGTAAACAACTTATTAAGGTCACAGTGTGTTATCAGATATTTTATTTCTAACAAAAATACTCTGAAAACACTTTTCACAACATTTTTACCTTGAAAAATAGTTTTGATCTGCAGATTACCTAATCACCAAAAGGATTTAAATTGTCTCTGGCAAACTATAATCCAGTCATCTGATGAAAACAAAAAGTGTTAGCTGATTATATTACACCTGACTTTCTAAAATAAAACTCTCAAGAAATAAAGAAAAAGCTTCTATCGACGTGCAATCCACATTTAAAGATGGAAACCTACTTTAATTTAGAGATGTTTTGCTCCTCCATGCTTGTCCAGTGGAGAGTCAGAGAGCTGGAGGTTTGTAAATCTAACATCCAGCCCTCTCCTCTGCACCACCTACTGTTTGGCCCATCCCTGTCTGAGGATGAGACGACTGTGGGGGGTGGGGGTGCAAGGAGGCAAGACGAGGGTCTGACTTCACGTCACTGGGCTTTGTCAGGTCCTCTGCCTCTTAATTTAATTTATTTGTTTTTTATTTTTAGTTTGTGGTTGTGGAGGCTTGTCAAACACACCTGGTGTAGAAACTCAACTCGGTGAGTGCAGATGAGGGGAGACTGAATCCCTAAAGTCGTGTTACTGTGGGAACCACTTGTATTTTTACAGGCATATTTGTTTACCTGGGCGATTCAACCTTTAGTGTTAACGGCCACACAAACACTGCTCGTGGCCTTTGCTTGTGCAGCCGTATGTTAGCATAGTAAACCAATATGTGAGTCACACAGGAAGTATTTTAATCCTCACTAACGTTCCATTTTTTGTGTCAGGACTGATATTTCATTCAGGTAAAAACAAAAAATGGTGGCCCTTCGCTGTTAATAAAATAAAAGTGRAGCAGGTTCTTTGCTCTTGGACCAGGGCTGGTTCTATCATCATTTTAACTGTGTTATGTGTCCAGACTGTAACTATAGAAACCAAACTGATATTGATTCAGCACATGTAGTGTCTTTTTCACAGCTGGGGTGGATTAATTGCAGATGAGTGCGATGATTACAGACAGACAATAACCATCTGTTACAACAGAAATATAAATAAATAATTTCATTAGTGTTGGCCAGTAAAATATCATCCATCCATCCGACAATTCTCTTATATCTATATTTTTTTCTTTATTTATTTAACAGGGACAATGCATACGAAAACATAGAACAGATCAAGTCTGTAACTAATGCGTTGCACAAAGAGTATATATATATATATACTACAGCTACAGCTAATTTGCAACTCCTGTCCCTGGTTGGGCATTTCTACACAAATAAAATACAGTTTATGCATCCATATACACTAAAAATACACAAGCATGTCTGCCAACAAATTCATAAAATCAACCAATACAATTTACAAATTCATGCAAAAAAAAAAATTAACAAAAAATAATCATGCAAAACATTAAAATACATAAAAGTTAGAATTCTAAAACAGTTCGAATAACCTTAGAACCTCTAAAATTAACCATACACATCCTCAGGTACCTCTCCATCCTCCCACATTAGCCAACACATGCTAAAAATTATCACYACAACACTAACGTACTAAAACATAGTCCCACACAGACTGTTCTCATCATTAAATCTAAATACTAAAAATAATCGCATCTTTGGTTTTCCTTTAGCCAAGATTTAGTCATATGGATGAATTTTTGAAATTCAAACGTAGCTTTTATTTGCAGAGGCAATCAGTTCCATRATGTTGTGCTTTTGTATGAAAAGGTAGTCTGACCAAATGAAGTTATGTCTTTCCTTTGTAGCTCAGGGAGAGCTGTCTGTATCCAGTACTCGCTGTGGGAGTGGAGGGGCACACTCCCAACAGGTTGCAAGTCCATCACAGGACCACACAAACAGATATCCACACTCTCCCTGGGTTCAATTTATAATCTTTTTTTATTATTTTTTTCAGTCATTTTTAAATTTTTCATTTACAAAAGAGCACAAAACACAGAACAATGAAAACAAAACAGTATAATACAGAACATAATACGCAATCTTTAAACTCCTTTCAGTGTCCAAAAGACAAGATATAGACTGAAAAAAAGTGTARGTAGAAGCCTAAGCTTTTTATACCTTCACTTTTTATTCGTACAATATCAAAATCAAATCTACATCTTTCCTATAGATTTACAGTTTATTTACAGTACTAATCAACCCAGCATTTATGCTGCTAGCCTGTGGGAAGAAACCAGAGTACCTGCAGGAAAATCACATGGAGAACGTTAAAAAAAAATCTACACAAATCTACAGTGAGGCAACAGCTCTAACCACTGTTTTACCGATTACCAGTGCACCAATAACAGATACGTTAACGTTAGTTTATGTCAGGGCTATTCAACTAAATCGCTCCAGGAGCCACAGTTACTGCAGGCCAACAGCTGAGGGGCTGAACATCTAACAATTAACGTCTTTATGTAAATAAACCAAGTATTACAAAGATCTGTTACCTTTGAAATGATTTATTTTGCTGCATTTAATCATGGATATAACATACAGAACCCTATGTAATAAATGTAGTGATAGCAAAACAATATCAAAAACAAAACTAACACATTCTGTCTCCTATTTAATACAAATATTTTTGACATCTCTGACTTTCCAACTTTTTAAACCTATTTTTTTCCACTTTCATAGTTTTATCTTCAACTGGTTGTAGTTGTAACCGTCTTGAGTGTGCATAGAAATGGTTTTATACAGCTTCTAGCCAAGATTCAGACGTTTCTGTAGACACCAAACATATGTTTAACTAAAAGAACTCATAGTAATTAAAGTAGAAAACCGGGGGGTTGGATTTAAGAGATTAATGAACCAATTAGCTTGCCGCATTTTGGTCACTCGCAGGCCGGATGTGGCCCGTGAGCCACCATTTAAATAGCCCTGATTTTTAGCTACATTACTCATCTTGAATTGTATTAACTGCAAAAGTGAATTGGTTGTAGAGGTACACCCAATGATTATTTTATGCAGTTTTCATTTATATCTATTCAGTGGTTTATGACATATTTGGATAATAGACAGACTAACTGCACAGTTACGGGCAAAAACATTATTGTCTGTCTTTGCCTTTTTGAGGCAGGTGATAAAACGGCTTTTGCACCATACAGAAAGAAAAAAAAAATTCTCGTTAAACAATTTAAGCTGAGAACTGTATTGAATCAGATGGGAGAGAGAAGTCGAAGGCATTACTTGGAGGTGTGAGCTTTCAGGCAGTGCTTTATCTCTTAATTATTGAAAGACGAGTTGCAACACTAATAATCATTTCACATGGTTTGCAAATGAGGCTATTAAGCACAGCTGTGTGAGAGTGCACTTCCTTTTTATGTCCACAAGGTGACCCACCAGTACTGTGGTAATTTGACACTGAAACATAAAGGGAATCTGACAAATTTATATTTTTGAGGATTAACTTGGAACAAAATTCATTGAGATTTTATTGTTTTTCACTATCTATAAATGTAACTGGAGACAAGCATTGTGTGCTTTTTCACTYATAAAAAGTTGTTTTTCAGTGATGTATTTTTTGGTCATAACCTAACTAGTTAGAGTTTCTAGCCTTTAAGCTATGTGTGGTCTACAGTACAGTTTTTATTCTCTTTATGCTTCTCTTTTCAGAATCACAAGGTGTTTGGTTACATCCTGCTCTTATCTCCTATCTTTTATGCACTGGATACCTTTCTTTGTTCTTTTTTGCTTTGACTTGATCTGAAACTGTATCCCGTCCAGTCTTATTCCTGTTCACCGTACAGCCCAGTTTTCTCCCCATCTTCAGAAATACATTGTTGGGTTTGYGGTTGTGTGTGTGTGAAAGGTGCTCAGGAGCCAAACAAAACAAGC